TGGAATTAATCCGAACAATTTCTCAGAGCACTTCCCGTGGTAAATTTGATAGAAAATGCAAAGAGATGCAACATCCCTACGCAGTGCCAGTGTATCGAGCCGATCAGAAAGAACTCGGTCGTCGACGATTCGAACCCCTCTGCGCTGGATGCGGTCAAGTAGAAGGAGCTGGCACTGGGGTGCCCCGACCCAGAGATGAGAACAGTATTCCATGTGAGGCAGGATTTGCGCTTTGTAAAGTTGCAAGCGATGTGCCGGCATGAAATACTGTCTCGCTGTGCTGAGCACGCCAAGCTTTTTAGAAGCCAATTTGGCCTTCCCTTCCAAGTGACCACGAAACTGCACACTATTCGATATGTCGACGCCGAGTTTTCTGATGCTAGCTGAGGCAGCAAGGGGAGTGCCTTGAAACTGAGAAAATACGACAAAGGGGTTCTTTTTAGCGGTAAACGCGCAAACTTGTGTCTTCTGGGGATTTTAAACTGTAACGTCATTTTTTTTATTACATATTATATACATATAATGTTTAACAAAATTAATTTCAAGCCTGTCCCGGTTGCCCTATTCTTTGCCAAATTGGTAAGACGGTTATGGCAATTCTGTCGCAGCTATAAGTTTTAATGAAAACTAATCAAGAGAAACGGCTAAATGTTCCAATGGTTTGGCATATTATTATATTAATATTAATTGTAAGTGGTAGAGTCCCGCTGCATTTTATGTATTATGGTTGTAATGGGTCGGCTCGACCGTGGTAGGACCAAGACCAACGTAAATAGCAGCTTAATGTTGCTGTGTTTCGTATAGTGAGTGTAGACAAACGGAGACCCTTTTTAGTGGTAACGAATCATTCTATCTTAGTACTCAGGGGTTACAACGCATCTGCATATTTATTCTTAATCGGGGATAAATGTAGATGTCTATAGGCCACAGCATCCACATACGATCAGACGGCATCATTCTTCTAGTAACTAGATAACCAAAAGAACTCGATGTGGCCACAAGGTGACTAGAATTTGACTAACTTATTGGCAATTGGCATGATAGACATGATAGCACGACTGATGATTCCGGGTTCATTTCCCGAGTCGGCCCAAATCAGTTGTTGGATTTTTCCGGCAAGTAATTCTCAGTAGCTAGCAACCTGGAGATAAGAAATTAGTGGTATTTCACCCCTTGCTTCGGAAAACACGTAAACCTGTTGGTCCAACTAATGGAATGATGGAAAAGAGAGTGCAGCTGTGCTTGGGCACACACTCATGCACATAATTATTCGTTTCGTAGATAACGGAGACTTACACAGATGGCTAGATTCAGTTTAGACTGGCCTCCGTAACCAAAATTAAGCTTTGAGGACATTATTATTATTAGGCGTTCATATAAAACATTTCTTAAATTAAATTTATATAAGATATTACGAAACACCACCGACCTTTCCTCAATATATATGTAATTACGTTCAAAATAACATTCATGTACGCTTTCCTGCCGCCGCACAATCTTATTTAGGAGCAGAGAAAAGGTCAACCTCTGACATTGACAAGAAAGGTTATGTATGGAATCATAATTGACTTACTTCGTCTACTGAAAGTAATAATTATAAACACAGTTGGCTTTTGGAGGAAGGAATTCTAAGATCGTGAAATTGCACTGTTTGTGCGGGTCTACTCTTACAAAGAGAGGATTCATGCTAAGGGGATCGGTGTTCGCAGTAACAGAGTTCATGCACCTTTGAAGCTGCTCCCAATCTCCGATCTCGGTATTTCACATCTAACAGAAACCCGATCTATCGGTATCCTTTTCTTTCTGGCATACCTTTTAGCCGCCTGTTACGACATCCACGAGACAAAATGAGGTAATAAATTCTCTTAAGCTAACTTACCAGTATATAACCACGCTATGCATTTATTTTAAATTTCCACGATCGATCAAAATTATTTTATATGTACTCTTCCCCATCTCTATGCTCCTTATCACCTTAATAATAAGGATAAAGGCCGACAAGGACTCTCGACCAAAATATTGTTAATACAAAGGGTGTTAGCGACAAGTTGGTGTGCGTGTACGCTTGTGTGTGCGTGCACGTGGGTATGTTGGCTCTCCGCTGCCGTCCCACTGCTGTACTATGCCCTGGTTTAAAAGATGAGACAGTCAATATAATATATTATATATAACCGACTAAGAGGTATTCATTTTCAACCTCCAGCCTGAGAGAGACTTCTGTGAGATTTTTTGTTTGATGTAAACAAGTTTCTATTGGCTGTTGTTGCCACATACCACGCGATGGATTTTAGCTCATTTTTTACTCTAATGTCATAATAGATCCACCCGAATACCCTTCGTATTCATCAATGATAAGATCAATTAAAGATTTTTAGAACAATTCTCTCAATTGTTCTAAAAATAGTAAAAAATACTTCAATACTTACTCTAAAAGTAAACATTGTGAATACGGTATATAAAACGTTAAATATTTTTCCCTCTATGTTCATTCTGAAATTCTAAGCTATGAATACTCCGAATGTAGGGTTGTCGCCTCATATATTTGATAAAGGCAAAGCTACGATCCTATTTCAGCTTTTCCTCGTTCGCTCGCTGAAGAAATTATTTCTTTGTGGCTGAATTGTGCTGTAACTAGACGTCTGCCTCAGCGTTGTTACTTTCTATTTATAAATGTGTCTCGTACACACGGTTGTTTGACACAATTCCAGCCCGGTTGAAAAATCTTGTTAGTTTTCTAACAGAAATACTTTTAAAAATATTATGATCAATTTTAAATTGCACTTGCATAATCTGATACTTTATTACATTATTCAAATTTTAGTATGTTATTCAAATGTAATAGTAAGTTTTTTATTTTTGTGCTTTCGGTCTCTGAACACGTTTTGAAGGCGTTTCTTTTTTACAAGTTTTGTAGAAACATTGAAATAATGAGTGTTTATAATCTTTCTTTCCTTTTTTATATGTTACCTTTATAAATTTTACCTAAACCTAATCTAAATGCTCCATAGATACTTTCTTTAAAGACTACCTTACAAAATAAAAAGACATTATCTGCTTGAAAAAGTGTTCAGCACTAAACAATGTAATACCATCGTAACATTAAAGTAGTCGACTTTGACTAGTCGTCGACATAACAAATTCGCGGTCTTTGTTCTATTTTACGTCATTTAATGTGAATACTGAATACGTTTATTATAGTTGTTACGTATTTACTTTCCATTCAACGTTCTCTTACACGTTATATTTGCTGACAGTAAATTGGATTGGCTTTGTATCTTAATTCATTCAATTTCAACTCGTATTGGGTGTTAATATTTTATACATTCCCTTTACTGACTACATTTGAAAAACGTTTATTCTTATATAGTTTGTATTTTACATATATTATTGTATTATTGTAATAAAAACATATTTCTAAAACAATAATGGGAAAACATATCTAAAATTACCTAATATTAACTAAATAACAACATTCTCAGTCATTATTTCTAATACGATAATGGCAACACATATCTAAAATTAATAATACTAACTAAATAACAATATTCTCAGTCATTATGTCTAATACGATAATGGGAAAACTCATCTAAAATTAACTAATACTAACTAAATAACAACATTTTGTTAATATTTTTGTTATTTTTTGGCGTACAATAAAGTGTTATCTATCTATCTATCTAACATTCTCACTCATTATTTCTAATACGATAGTGGGAAAACATACCTAATATTAATTTAATTATATATGAAATATTTTAAATTTAATACTTGCAATTAAGTGAAATATATTAAATACATAAAACTATTCAAATTTACCTCTTTATAATCATCTACTTTGTATCTCAACTTCTTTCTTATACATTTTTTACTTAAAAATATATTTATGTATGATTCATTTTTATACATTTACATACATCCTTACATCTGAATAGTGAATGTAAATGAAGCTTTTAGATGTTATTTATCTTACAACATTATTTATAGCATCTCAACGCTGCTGTGTTTCATATGGTGAGTGTAGAGAACCAGAGACCCATCCTATTTACTGGAAACGAGGCATTTCATCTTAGTTATCACGGGTGAAAACGCATCTGCATTTTGATTCGTAGTTGAGGATAGATGTAGATATCTATGGGCAACAGCAACCACTTACTATCAGGTGGAATGAGTGCTCGTTTGTTACCCTTATCTTATAAAAAGAAACAGCATCTGTAAATACAATATTACATAATCCCTTTGCATACAATTTTTACGCAAATAAATATATATTTACGACCTTTGTATGACCTTTTTTAAAGGTATATACTCGTAAATACCTTAAAACCCACAATTATGCTCTACTGTTACTAAAGTAAAGTTGCAACCCACCGCTGGGCACTAGCCTCCTCTCATTTCTGAGGAGGTTTTAGGACAAGGAAATGTCCGCTGCGGTCGAGACATGCAGGTTTCAATTCAACACTAAAATTGTAATTAGTAATTTCATTGATGTCGGCGGGAATCGGACCCGGGTTGCTCAATTACTGTGAAATTTACAGCGAGCGCTTAACTTCTTAGATACGACGGCTCTGTTACTATGATTCATATTAACGTTGTTCTTGCTTACTTAGGACCATGAAACAAACCAGTTTTCATAAAGCTTTAGCTGCAAAGCAAAGTAAATAACTTATAGTATATATATATATATATATATATATATATATATATATATATATATATATATGTATTTATAAAAATATATGAAATTATCTACTACTTTAAGGTTAACATTCGAATTATTGATCACTAATTATTTTGGAAAATGAAACAGGAGATGGGCAACAGCATCTTTCTCATAACAACTCCCAAATAATAAAAAAAATGCAGTTGCTAACCCGCTTGCCAAGCGTGGCAACTAATCCCACATGAGGTAATCTATGAGGGAGGCCTTTGTTCAGCAGTGGACTTTTATATGCTGTAATGGATGGATGAATAAGATATTTAGCAAACGTTGTCTGTTTCAGGTGACACGGATGAACATGGCTTGCCTAAAGACAAGGACAAGGGATATGACACTAATCTTTACCTCTACCATGTAAGTATTTATTTTTTCTCTAATTTACAAATTGTAAGTTGCTGGATGTAGGATTTTACCGCAAGTATTAAGATTTTTTATAGGCAGCAAGTGTGACCTTTTAAAGGTCACAATTTAAGTTTTTGTTAAATCGCCTGAGGTCGAAACCAGAATTTAGCATCCGACTAAAACACACTGTAACTTTGTCATTAAAGTTAAATAGGCAAAATTCTGTATACACGAGTAATATTCGCTACAAAGTTGAAGTAAAAACGACAGAAGTTTTTCGGTGTTACGCAACATCGTTAAACAACGGTCGGGTGGTTCAATTTTGCTGCTCCTTCTCTCAAACATCACCGTTTTCGGACGTAAACTTAAACGTAGATTGTGTTACACTTAATATTGTTTACTTCATAAACGACGGGACGCCGTAAAACTCTCACGAGAATTACTAGAGGACTTAGAAAACAAGGCTTTTTTCTTACGGTGTATATTACAAAGTTATTTTTAGACTTCGGTCATATACCAATCTATGTCAATAAAAATATATGTCAATATACAATTATTAATATGAGCTTATAAACATATAGCAACTGTATTTTTTCTCCTTCTTCTTCGCTAGTCTGTTAAATTCCACCGCTGGAAATGGCCTCTCCCGCTGTAGGGACGATTTGTCTTTATAGTCGCATTAATTCAGTACACCATATTAAAGTCCACTGCTGAACACAAGCTTCCCCTATAGTTACCACACTTGGGAAGCGACATGATATTACAGACGCGTGCAAAGTACATACTTAAATAATGATGTTTATATCATTTAACCACGTCGCAAAGATCTAATAAAAAAAATCTCAATAAACCCTACAAGGGTTCAATCTCTGATATTTAACGGAACGACCTTCGGACATATTTTGCAAATTCCTACGGTAATCTTATTATTATATTAAAAATGTAATAAAAAAACTTTTATTACGTTGAATTTGCTTTATTATTTTTTATGAATACGTTTTATACTTTTTATTATAGCTTTTTGAGTAGAATATCACAAGTTCAAGTTAATAACTAAACTGTCGTCTTAATTGTTACATTAAAATCTCTATTGTCTATTTTCACCCTCAGGAATGGAATTTACTGAGGTGTAACCAATCAATAAAAAGAAATCGTTTCTCGTGGCAGCTATATTACATTTGTAGCACGAATGGGTCGGCTCGGCCGGGAGAACTATGCTCTCACAGAACATCAGCATAGCTTCTGTACTTATCGTGGTGAGTGTAGGGTACCGGAGACCCTTTTTACTGAAAACGAGGCATTCTATCTTAGTCCTCAAGGAATCACATCGCACCTGCATTTTAATTCTTAATCGAGCATTAACTGTGTGCTCGTTTATCATCCTTATTGTATATAAAAAAGGCAAATCGGTGAAAACATACGTGTCGAATAAAAACCTTCTCGTTTTTCGAACTCGTTTAAAAACTTATTAATATAACTGGGATAAGTAGCAAAAGTATATAAGGACTGGTATATTAGTACTATTAATAATGTACCGATGACAATGTCCTCCCGACCGAATTTCGTTCACGTCGACTAGTCTCAACGGAGGCTAGCCATCTGCGGAGGATAGAATTATAGTTCCAGAGTGTGTGTACTAACAGGTTTTTTATACAGTAGGGGTGACAAAAGAGCACACGGTCCATCTAATAAGTGGATGCTGTGGCCCATAGACATCTACATTTATCCTCGATTAAGAATCAAAACGTTGATGCGTTGTCACCCCTGAGGACTAAGATGCGTCGTTTCCAAGGTGCACTATCTATTCTCCATTCTCAGTTGTCGCGCTTACGACCACTAGACCTACTCAAATTTTGATACAGAATAAATATTAATTTTAAAAACTAAGCATCAATGTAACTGACTTTTATTTGCAATTGTGCGTAATATTAAAGTTCACTTACGTGGTGACACAAAAGGTAAACGATCCGATTAAAAATACTAAATTTGCAGTTTATTTTTATTTTTATTAAATATGCTGAAAATCCCATACATTTTTGATATTATAAAATTAAAGGGGTTAAGTACGAAAGCTCGCGATGACCCGTAGCAATCTCGTAGCAGCGTAGCTTTTTCGTAGTCTTGTTTATTTGTTATACGAAATTTATCAAAGCTATTGTATAATATATACTACTATGTTTCGTAAAATGTATATGCATCTATTAAATACTCATACTATATCAATATGATATGACTATGGTTTTTGCTATTTAGGAACGAATATTTGCTGATAAGATTTTCTTGGAAATTAATTTTGAACTGATGATGGTAACGATGGACTCTCAGTCGAATGAAAAAAAAAAACTTTTAAATGTTATCATCCGCTTAAGAGATGATTCAAAATAAACGCTAGCAAAGATGCCTGAAGTAACGCTTGTATGATCAAATAAGCGTAGGGTGAAAAGTGGTGTCAGACATAAGTGCATAATCTCATCAACTAGACCTGAAACCGAACAATTTATATATTTACATAAATATTGACTTTATATAGGGTTCTGCACAGATTTAGTGAATCAAATACCCTGGTACCTAGGGCGAAAGTACCACCTACGACTTATGATGTTTTGCTGATAATATCGAAATTATATAAAAAGTTATTACCCAAGGTTTTCTCTCATGTATGTCAAAAACTAAATCGCGACTTATTTATTAGATAGGCAAGTATGTTACATTTTAGCTAAAAATTATTCGAATGGCCAGACAAAAAGAATTGCAGTAAAAGTAAAAATATTTTCATTAGATATTTAAGGCGTTACATAAAAAATAAAGAAATAACGGTGCAAGATTAAAGTTATAAGAAGACATAAATTCACGATAACACCGTCGTAACGTGCTTATTACTCCGATAAGAAATGAAATTTTTTGGAAGACGGTTTACGCTTTCTCTCTTGTAGATATAAATATAAAACCTCTTAAAAACACGCTTAAGTGAGTAGCGCCGGGTTCCATATCTCCTTTAAAGCATATATGGAATCTGAGCGCACAATCTCGTGTATTATTCACCTCCATTTGGGCATGACTTTAAATGTAGAAGTTCCTTATATATTATTGTTATATAGTTTGAAATATTTTTGTCGTTTTAAAGACCATGTAGTCAATGCTAAAATGAATGAAAAAAAAAGTTATATAATTTGCCTGTGTTATTTTTATTAGGCGCAATTAGGAGCCATGCGTATTAGCGGTCGTCGGCATGAGCAATTAAGCATGCGGCTAGCCGCTTCGTTATTTTAATATGCAACGGCTCATTTAGTACACACTAAACTAACACAAAATACTAACTGCGGTAATTGAACGGAAGACATCGACCCGCTTTGTGCCTGGCTACTATCTTAACTATATACACAAGGCGGTTCTGTTCGCAGGAAACTGCAAGTGAGTTTGCACGTGTGTATCACACTGTCATCCAATAAAAAATGAAACCAACTTTCTTTTTTGTTGTTTTCATCGATAGTAAAAGCAGTTAACACTGGCTACCTCGACAGCGTCCATTTTATTTATAAGAGACCATAACGCAGTTTACATCCTGCAGCGATTCAACCGCTTGATATTCAACAGCGGAACAAGGCCATGGCGGTAAGTTGCTGTTCTGGAGCCGTTCCGCTATACGCTACTCAGGTGTACCACGTGCGGGGCTGATCACTAGTGCGAATGAGCCCTTAATGTCATAATATAGTATTAACTACCAGTTAACCAAAATTTTGCGTAGACTGACAAACGCAAGCAAAAGAAAATGGTTTTTTACCGGATACGTTTTAAGAACATCATAATAACCCTTTCTTCTTCAACTATATTGACCAATAAAGTTAAGAAAAATTGCTCCTCATCCTCATCAATGTTTATAGTCCACTCCTAGACTTGAATCATTCCCTCCATACATGGCACGTCGATTACCTATCGCATAACCAGCCGTCACCCATCCTTAACGTTGTTTGCCGTCAGCGGTGTCAGAATATTATATCTAGCATTATTATGCTGCTTGTATATTTACAAGATAATTAATTATCTAGAACTAACAAGATCTTCAATCGTCAATCGACGGATTCAACTCACCTGGGCAGCGTTCAGGAAATTACGGCACATCTTCTCTTCAGGTATACCTCAAAACTTGAAAACGAGACTGTACAACCAGTGCGTGTTACCAGTGTTGACCTATGGAACTGAGACGTGGTCCTTCACTGCTGGCCGTATGAGGAAGCTCAAGGTCGCTCGGCGAGCTATGGAGAAGGCTATGCTCGAGGTTTATCTGCATGATAAACTTAGAAATGAGGATATCCGCAGTAGAACCAAAGTGACCGTCATAGGCCAACGGATTAGTAAGCTGAAGTGGCAATGGGCTGGCCATATTACTCGAAGAAGCGGCAGCTGATAGGGAAAAAAGATTCTCGATTGGCGACCTCGTACTAGATGGAGTGGTAAGACATGCAGGAAGTCGATGGATGCATGCGGCTCAGGACCATGCTTATTGGCATTCCTTGGGGTAGGCCTATGTACAGCAGTGGACTTGTGAAGGACTGTAATGATTATGATGATTAACAAGATCTTCTCAGTCTTTCCTCAAGTTGCTTCTTACTATACATATGGAATGAAATGAGATGAAGATTTCCCTGACCTCGCCACCGTACGCTGTGGTGTGACTAAGGTAAAATGTTATGTATAAGGTGAATTTATTAAATTAACAAATCTATGTATCGATGCAAGAAATTTATTAAACCACCACTTTTCCGTATGGTAGTGATAGCTTTAAAGAATCAGCCTATCTCGACTAAGCATAAATCCTGAAAAACTTTGTGACAATTGATACATGCTGATATAACGTATCTATTTTAAGTCCTATATCAGTCTATAATAATAACCTATATAAAAAGGACACAGGCCTCCTCTAATTCTGATATTGTCTTTTATAAAATCCTTAGACCGCCGACGGAGAGCAGTATTAAAAGTACAAGATATTTGGTACTGCGCTCTCCGTCTAT